GACATGATAGCAGTGTTCCAATATCTTAGGGGCTGCCACAAAGAAGAGGGAGTCAGGCTATTCTCCAAAGCGCCTGAAGGCAGGACAAGAAGCAACGGGTGGAAACTAACCAAAGAGAGAAGCAACCTAGAACTAAGGAGAAACTTCCTGACAGTTAGAACAATTAACCAGTGGAACAACCTGCCTCCAGAAGCGGTGATTGCGCCAACACTGGAAGTTTTTAAGAAGAGACTGGACAGCCATTTGTCCGAAATGGTATAGGGCAGGGGTAGGCAACCTTGACTCTTTTATGACTCGTGGACTTCAACTCCCAGAATTCCTGAGCCAGCCATGCTGGCTCAGGAATTCTGGGAGTTGAAGTCCACGAGTCATAAAAGAGCCAAGGTTGCCTACCCCTGGTATAGGGTTTCCTGCCTGAGCAGGAGGTTGGACTAGATGACCTCCGAGGTCCCTTCCAACTTTATCATCATCATCATCATCATCATCATCATCATCATCATCATCATCATCATCATCATTATTATTATTATTATTATTATTATTATTATTATTATTATTATTATTATTATTATTATTATTATTATGCTTTTGAACTGCTAGGTTAGCAGGAGCTGAGGCGAGGATGGGAACTCACCCCATCACAAAGCGCTCGGGCCTCAAACGTGGGCTGCTGGCTTTCCAGCCAACAAGCCCAGCGCCTTAACTACCGCACCGCCCCTTGTAGAAGATCACTGAGAAAAACGATCAAACAACAGTAAAATACAGTGGGGGAATAAACTTACAATCTCTATGTGAGTCAGCTGCTGGGCTAACATGTAAGGATCGCTGCAAATGGTGATGATATCTCGTTGGATGGCCTGGGGTTTGGTCTTTAAAACCGTCAGCCTATCGGTTGAAGTAGCATTGATTTTTGCCAGAACTTCCTCGTATTGGTTAAGAGAAGCCAGCTTACGAATGAGGCTCTGGAGGACTTGCTGCACGTTTTTCCGATAGGTCTGTCAATGGGAAGAGAAATAATGAAAGCAATCATCATTTTTGAATGCCTGAAAGGCTTTCTATTGGTGGAGCTTACACATATAGCGGGATGCCAGAAGATCTGCTCGTGAGGACCTTGTTTGTATCCCGCCTTTATTATTTGTAGAAATAATTCAGGGCAGTGAACTAATCCAACACACCTTCCTTCTCTCATTTTCCCCACAGCCACAACCCTGTGAGGTGAGTTGGGCTGAGAGAAAGTAACTGGCCCAAAGTCATCTAGCCAGCTTTCATGGCTAAGGTGGGTATTGAACTCAGGGTCTCCTGCTTTCGAGCCTGGTGCCTTAACCAATAGACCAGGGGTCTTCAAACTTGACCCTTTTATGACTTGTGGACTTTAACTCCCAGAATTCCTCAGCCAGCCTCCATTTTGTTTGTTAGATTTAAGGCAGGGGTCTTCAAACTTGGCCCTTTTATGACTTGTGGACTTCAACTCCCAGAATTCCTCAGCCAGCCTCCATTTTATTTGTTAGATTTAAGGCAGGGGTCTTCAAACTTGGCCCTTTTATGATTTGTGGACTTCAACTCCCAGAATTCCTCAGCCAGGCACACGTGCCTGGCTGAGGAATTTTGGGAGTTGAAGTCCACAAGTCATAAAAGGGCCAAGTTTGAAGACCCCTGCACTAGACCAAACTTGTTCTCTATTGTTTCGCAACCAAAGAGAATTGGAAACCACATCCTTTTGAAGATTTCGACATCAGCAATCATAATTTGTAGCTGCATCTAAATCCAGAATTCTCACTTAACTTTTTTTTTGTTTATTCTTTTACAATTGTTTTATGCATTGAGACGATCTCCTCCTCCTCCTCCTTGGAACTAGCAGAGGAAATGTAGAAAACTAACCAAAAATGGTGAGCTAACTATACTTTTGACTAACTAGGTCAGCATGCAATTGTTAAATCCTTTTTTAACACGGTGTGTCGTCTTCTCATTTTCTCATGACAATGCTTTAGGTCAGGGGTCCCCAACCTCGGCTCCATGGAGCAACACCGGGCCGTGGCACGCCAGCAACTGGGCCGTGCAAACGAGTGAAGCATCATCCACGGGATGCAGGCAGCACGTGAAACCACGCCCCTTCGGGTCCACGAAAAAACCTTTCTCTACAGAATCGGTCCCTGGTGCCCAAAAGGTTGGGGGCCGCTGCTATAGGCATTACTTTATTCACATAGAAAGGGGCGGAAAATGAAGGCTAAGATGTCATAATGGAGATAAACGTCAGCTGGAGCACGTTCCAATTTGTGGGCAATTTCCTGCTCTGCAGACATAACCAGTGCCTTGGATTTCTTAGTAAACTTGGCAAGAATCCCTGCCCTCTGCTTTTGTGGGTACAGTGGTTTGATTGCATAACTGCATGAGAAAATTCTCACCAGGATGTACTGTGTCAACGCTGCTAACATCGGATGTTCTTGCTTTGACAACAGATGGAAATGCAGCCATTTTCTCTATTGCTTTTAGAATTAGTTGCTGCTGGGAGGGGGAATAGGGATGAGAGTCCAGCTAGTCATAACAATAATAACTCAGCCGTGGGAACCCAAGGACATTGAGTCTAGAGCTGATAGTGTTTTGGCGGGCTGGAGAGCTGGGAGAAAGCAGGCGCTTCAAGCTAATTGGGGAATGTGATTTATGACGGTTTATTGGAGGAGGGAATTGCACTTTGTTACTTTGTATCCAGGGGAGGGGAATTTAATTTCTGATTTCAACTATGTAGTGCCAATGTTTTGTTTCTCGAATAAAAGATTCTTTAAGGTAAACAATGCCTCTAAGTTCTTTTGAAGAGTTTCATCTATCGGAACCATGACATACTGTTAACAATATCAATATACTAAACTGTGCAATGAAGAATGATATTCCTCTGATGACTTGAGTCTGCAAGGTCTAAATATATTTTTTTTTAAAAAGAATTTGCAAGTTTCTTGTACTCCACTGAATTTTTTCACCTAAACCTACTAAATTCCATAAAGCTGACAAGGGGGAAGAGAGACAGCAGGAGCAGCAGGTATAAAAACCAAGTTTTCATCAAATATAAAAGTTGGGAATTTTGGGAATCACCATCCCAAATAGGGGACAACAACAATGGATCTGGTCTATTTATTTTGCATTTGGAATGGTACACACATTACTGTAAATGAAGAAGAGCAAATTTAGAAATTCCTTCTTAGACCTTTTTTGTATTAGGGGTATGTGATGACCCCCCAACATGTACCACTAAGCTCTTCTGAATCAACAGGCACAACCAGATCACCTATGAGCACTGTCACAAAAAAGGATTACTGCAGCGGATGTGACTAATGACATGATATTTGTTCTAGAAAAAAAACAGTCCTCAACATCCCACATGAGCCCAAAATTTTCACTGTTAAGCAAGACAGCTATAAGGTGAATTTTGCCCCATTTTACGACCATTCTTGCCACAGTTCTTAAGTGAATCACTGCAATTAAGTTAGTAACATGGCTGTTAAGTGAATCTGGCTTCCCCTCTGATTTTGTTTGTCAAAAGGTCGCAAAAGGGGATCACGTGACCCCGGGACACTGCAACTGTCATAAATACATGCCAATTGCCAAGAGGCCAATTTTGATCACGTGACCCTGGGAATGCTGCAAGGGTCATATGAAAAACATAAGTCACTTTTTTTCAGTGCCACTGTTAACTTCGACCAATCACTAAACAAAATGTTGTAAGTCAAGGACCACCTGTATTATGCTTTGAAGCTCACTTTTTCCTATGCAGAACACAAGCTCATGCATGCAGAGGTTTTTAATGAATACAATGTTTTCAAAAAATGGAAGCAAAGAATTAGGCAGGTACAAAGGGAGCTAAAATGGAAATCCAGGATTAAATTTACTTCTGGCTCACCTGCACGGCGTCTTTGTACTATGGAAAACATGATTTTTTAAACAAGAAAGAAAAGAAAAAGTGGGGGTAGAAACTGCAGCGACAGAAAAAAAGAACAAAATGCGTGCCAATTTAAATTGTCCACCATAGACCCTTCCAGTAAAAACCACAACTTTAATTTTCTTTCTTTTTCTGGCTTAACCTCTTCCTTCAGCAGACTTAGCTTGTGGCTATGTGACCAAATTGTTTGCGCAAGTCGAGTTTCCAACACAAAATGACTTGCCAGCATTTTTGAGGCTATGACATAACTTTAACAAGAAACAATAAAAACGACTTTCAATCTGGAGAATAACTTTTAATTTACATCCAGGCTGTGTGTGTGAGAGAGAGAACGGGTGTATATGTCAAATACTTTTAGATTTTTATTCTTAAGTCAAAACTCACATTTAAAAAAAACAACGGAATTTAAACTTCTGATTAAATGTGAAAAGACAACAAAAGGCTAGTAAGGGACCTTGTAAGGACCTTGATGGATTGAAGAACCGTAACGAGAGATGTCTTTCACGCTAGGCATAAATGCAGGATGCCTAAAGGCAAAGAACGAATGTACATCATATCTGAATTTCTGAGGGGGAAAAGGATACTATGGGTGAGGGCAATTTATTTACTTTTATTTCTTTCACTCCCCCTACTTCTTCTTCCCTGATCGCATTCCATCTCTCATGCCCTAGAGCAGGAGTAGGCAACCTTGGCTCTTTTATGACTCATGGACTTCAACTCCCAGAATTCCTGAGCCAGCCATGCTGAGGGGAAAGGGAGAGTTTCCAAGCTGAGCCATGCTGGCTCAGGAATTCTGGGAGTTGAAGTCCACGAGTCATAAAAGAGCCAAGGTTGCCTACCCCTGCCCCTTAGAGAAGGTAACATTTCTGTCTACTCGAACAGACAAAATTTGGTACATCAAGAACCACACTGTGAAAGAAGAAGTCAGCGTAATGCAAGATCTTAAAGTGAAACAAATAAATAAATCTTTGGGTTTATTCTTGCAAGATTCCGTCTGTTGGGACAACCATCACCTGGATGACTGAGAATCTCCACAGACTTTTTTCCAGAGTAAACCTTTTACTACTTTCAGTCTCTAAGAGATATATCCTGAGAGATTCTAGGCAGGGGTAGGCAACCTTGGCTCTTTTATGACTCATGGACTTCAACTTCCAGAATTCCTGAGCCAGCCATGCTGAGGGGAAAGGGAGAGTTTCCAAGCTGAGCCATGCTGGCTCAGGAATTCTGGGAGTTGAAGTCCACGAGTCATAAAAGAGCCAATGTTGCCTACCCCTGGTATAGGACAATGAAAATAGTTACATTGGAAAGACAGAGGTGGTAAGGTTCATTTTTTGCTCCCTGATTTTCTGCTTCAGTTTTCCTTTCCATTTATTTTGTATCTTTCAACTTGTTTAGAGAACATGGCAAAGACTATTCTTGCCTCCCTCTTTGGCTTATAGGTGAGACAGCTGAGAAGGAATGCTAAGGTGTTCTTATCAAAACTACTGCATTCTTGGGGGTAGCTCCACGGTGCAGTTGTTACCACAGATGTTACCTTAGCTAGAAAATTAAGAGAGCTACATATCAACATAGGGGAGAGGCAGATTCTTGGTTTGAGAACATTCTCTAGTTACCTCAACAACAGCCAGCCGCACATGGTGAAATCTCAGACTTCTGCAGAGTACTAAAAAATGCAGATAGATAGACTAAGGGAGCAAAAATTAGGATGCTTCTGGGATATGATATAACTCTAGTCAAAAAGCATTAAAGTCCTCAACTTACGACCACAATTGAGCCCCAAAATTTGGTAAGTGAGAAATTTGTTCAGTGAGTATTGCCCCATTTTACAACCTTTCTTGCCGCAGTTGTCAAGTGGATCCCTGCAGTTGTTAAGTTAGTAACTCGGTTGTTAAGTGAATCTGGCTTCCCCATTGACTTTGCTTGTCAGAAAGTTGCAAGAGGGGATCACGTGACCACGGGACACTGCACCCGTCATAAATATGAGCCAGTTGCCAAGCCTCTGAATTTTGATCACGTGACCGTGTGCATGCTGCAGTGGCCATGTGAAAAACAGGCATAAGTCACTTTTTTGAGTGCCACTGTAGCTTTGAACAGTCACTAAACGGAACTGTTGTAAGTTGAGGACTATCTATATTCAGTTCCTGGATTTAAAAAATGGAAAGCATAAATCTATGAAGGAGGCCTTGGTGGAGGTTATATTCTTAGAAGCCCAAAACACTCCTTGTTCTGATCCGCAATGCAGTGTGATGCACACAAGGTCACAATTTACTTTCCCAAAGAAGCTGCTAGCCAGCATCACACATAATTTACGGCGCTCTGAATTGTATTACAATATTGACTTTTCCATTTCTTTTTTCAAATCTCTTTTTTCAGTATGCGAAAACAGGAGCACTTATTTAAAATTGCATGTGGATTGCCCACGGACAAAACCACCCTCTCAAGGTGACTTGAAAGTTGAAATAAACAATAAAAATCCTTCTAACAGCTTCATAACTGTAACCGAAAGACAATTCCTAGGTTCAAAGCCAACCAAGTGCAAACCTCAAGACGGTGTTTCTCAACCTTGGCAACTTTTAAAATGTGTGAACTTCAGTTCCCAGGATTCCCCAGTATGCTGGCTGGGGAATTCTGGGAACTGAAGTCCACACATCTTAAAGTTGCAAAGGTTGAGAAACACTGCCTTAAGGTCCAACATTTATTACAACAACTGCCACTACACATGTTCACTGAGAATACATCTGTCTCTAAGTCACTTATCGATGAAAAACAGATTTAATATGACAAATTCTCTTCTGTCCTCCTTAAATCCTTTGAGCAGCAAGCCTTTCTGAGTTTGCATTCCACCTAACGTGAAAGACCTTCATACTTCCTTTGTACGATATTTGTCTGGTCAACCACACATCTAACTTCTGATGTCATTGTTACAGTCCCATTTAATGCAATGGACTATCTTCCTCAACTCATGCACAAGACCTTAAGAGATCTGAAATGAGACCTGTGCAAATGTTGATGAACTTATGAGATGTTACATAGTGGAGTTTTAGGATATTGGGTGGAAAAAGCTGACAGGATCAGTTGGCCAATCATCAGGAGGCTGTGAATTCTAGTCCCGCTTTAGCCATGAAAGCCAGCTGGGTGACTTTGGACCAATCACCAGGAGACTGTGAGTTCTAGGCATGAAAGCAGACTCGGTGCCTTGGGACCAGTGCTTTTTTTCTAAAGAAAAAAAAAAAGGTGCCGGAACTCACACACGTCATACAATCCGCCTTGCCTACCCTACAAGGTTCCATCCAAAAAAGGTGCCGGAACTCCGTTCTGGACGTTCTATGAGAAAAAAAGCCCTGCTTGGGACAGTCGCCCTCTCTCTCTCTCTTAACCCAACCCACCTCACGGGAAGAAAAGGGAGTATTATGTATGTTCACTACCTTGAGCTATTTATACAAAATAATATTAAAGCCCAAAATATCTGGACGATACTACCACTGGGAAAAGCTTCCTTTAGCTCATCCTTAAAAAAGTACTCATGTATTTTCCTAGCTCAGAGTAGCCTGTGGGCGTTTTCCTTGTGGTTATGAAATACTCCAGCTGCTCTTGCCTCCAGTATTTCTCAGGATAGCTCTGCATTCCTCAACAACAGTTATCTATTAATCTGTCTTGTTTGTATAACGTCACAAGCAGACAATGACTCAATGTGGTTTCCAACCATTGAAATCACCTAAAGAATCAAATTCAGAACAATAAAAGAGTTACACAATGATTGAACAAGCTCAATGTAGCGGCAAAGAATGAAAAATAGAAAAATAATGACTAACCCACACAATTACCACAATCTTGGTTGCCAAAGGTCAGCCTTATAGAACGATGCCAAGGACAGTAATAAGTGAACTTCTAGAACTGGAGTGTCCAACCTTGGCAACTTGAAGACTGGTGGACTTCAACTCCCAAAATTCCCCAAGCAGACATGGGGAATTGTCGTGGTTGGACATCCCTGTTCTAGAAGAAGGCTAGTCAACCAAGGTGGGGGCCTCTGTGGAAAAGGATGTCCCTTCATGGGGGCCATGAAGCATATCCAATGAGGATGAATTCACACATCCATGTGGGAGTATCCTGGGGTTCCATATTATCTTTATGCAATTTATCTATTCAAATCAGGGAATCCCACTGCCTCTCTATGCAGAAAACTGTGCATAGATGCATATTTTTCATACTATTATGTTTTGGGTTGTAAGCAGCTTTATGCAAGAGTAAAGGAGTTAAAGAAACAAGTTGAGAAAAGGAATGCTAGCTAAATCTAATTTCCCATCCCCAGAATGGATGTGAGATGGAATGAGTTCTCTCTGGTGTAACTGCTTATATTATATCCCCTCTGACAAAGCTCAGAGAAACTTTTAACAAAATCAGAACACCAAACATTATCCAAATTTGTTTTGAATAAATGAGAGTGACAGATAGATCCAAAGGAAACATCCATGTTTCCTCCTTGGGGACTCATGTAAATTTGCAATGACCTGCAAATTTCTATGAACTGTCACTAATTGTAAAATGGCTGAACTGGATTTTGCATTCCCTGAATATACCGATCTACCTTTTATTACAACTTATCAAGGCAGAAATGTAATCACTTTTCTGCTCTTTCATGTGGTCATTTCCATTTGTACAGAAGTTGCAATTGAAGACCCTTGACATTCTACTTCCACACATATTCTGCAAATACAGCAGAATTAATCATTTCTCATGCAGGTTGTCCTCGGCTTACAACCGTTCATTTAGTGACCATTCACAGTTACGATACTGAAAAAAGTGACTTATGACCGTTTTCACATTTACGACAATTGTAGCATCCCCCATTGTTGGTCACGTGATCAAAATTCAGATGCATGGCCTCTGACTTATATTTATGGGATCACGTGATACCCTTTTGCAACCTTCTGACAAAGTCAATGGGGAAGCCAGATTCACTTAACAACCGGGTCACTAACTTAACAACCGCAGTGATTCACTTAACAACTGCAGCAAGTAAGGTCGTAAAATGGAGCAAATACACTTAAAAACTGTCTTGCTTAGCAACGGAAATTTTGGGCTCAACTGGGATTGTAAGTCGAGGACTGCCTGTATATTCTATTCCACATATATAACCACTACATTCCACGTTATCCTATATTCCACATATATAAACATTCTGCATATTATTTTCTTTTATTGGCAACCGTTCTGCACCTTGAGGCTCACCTCATCTGTACTGGCTATTCGGTGGGCCAATTCTTTTAGATTTCTCATCATGCGCTCATCCCGAAAATCGTACGGAAATGTCTCTGTCCACTCAGCCAAAAGTTGTAGGATTTTGGGGGCAATTTTCCTTAACCGGCCCTGGAGAGAAAGGTGAAGTAAAAGAGAAAAGTGATTACAAAGCTGACTGGGGAAATCTCCTTGAAAGTTGGGCAGAATATATGTTTTCATTACTGTATTCCAAGATAGGTGACATGACAGCGTTAAGGAAGATTGGCAAATCAAAGAACTGAAAGAGGTTACTGATTCCATCCTTCTATTTAGTAAAAAAAAAAAAAAATCCAAATTAACCTCCATCCCCAGCAAATCGTTTCCCAACCTCTGCATTAACATTTACCCTGAGGTAAATGTTACCCTGAGGTAAGATGGGCGGCCAATAAATTTTACAAATAAATAAATACATTTCAAGGGAAAGAGACATCCACCCATACCTGCTTTCCCTACTATATTTTTACCATCAAGATTTTTTCCCCTGAACATTACATTGGAATGAGCCTTCCTTTTAAAATAAATAAACCTATTATTCTGTATCCTGCATTTGGGTAGAAACAAATCTTGGCCCTCTCCTATGTGACATTCATTGGGTCTCCTCAAATATTCTTTGGATCTCCCCAAATATTCTTTGGGTATTTGAAGAGAATTATCCCATATCCAATGGGTCATCTTTTGCTGTGGTAAAATGTTCCTAATTTCCCCAATCTGTCTTCCAGGAATCTAAAATTCTGTTTTCTCTTTCTCACACCCTTTCCAGTTTTGTCTGTGTCTTTCTTAAAGTGGACCACACACAATACTGGAGGTGATAACTACTAGTGGTCCTCAACTTACAACTGATTGCATAGTGACTGTTCAAAGTTACAACAGCACTAAAAAAAAAGTGACTTAAAACTGGTCCACACATTTGCAACTGTCATAAAGTCAATGCAAAGTCACAAGGGGAAGGCAGATTCATTTAACAACTGCATGATTCATTTAACGGCTTAAATTAATGATTCATTTAACAACCGTTGTCACAAATAGGTTGTAAAATCAGATGTGACTCATTGAACTGCCTTGCTTAGCAATGGAAGTCCAAATTGTGGTCATAAGTCAAGGACTACCTATATGCTCCACCAGATCCGAGAACAGCCAGCTTCAGTTTAATTAGATTCAAAGTCCCCATTCTAGAGACAGACCATTCCACTTTTCCTTGGAAGGGTCCATTTTTCACCCAGAATGCATTTGGCCATTTTCTCTCTAGAACGTTCGATTTTGCATCTCTCTACTACAAACTCACACAGGCACGATCCTCACTGGATCTCAGTGAGTACATATTGCAAGGCTGTTCTGAGAATTAATATATATAAAAAGGACTAGATTCACAAGAGTGAACTTCTTGGGGGCAAAAAAAGGAGGGAAAACTTATAAATTCAACTAGCCAGCATCATAAAAAGTTAGTTTCCAATGTATTTAGAATTCAGATTCTCTCCTTTGGGGGAAGTCTAACTTTCCATCCTGTCTTTCTCCTGGCATAGGCCTCAAATCCAACGACTTAGTGGGCCACTTACTTGATCAGCTGCAGAATCCACTCGCCTCTGCTGCTCGGTGCAGAGATGGCAGACTTTTGCCATTAATTCATAAGGGTGCACAAAAAGCCGAGAGCTCAGCAGAAAAGTAAAGATGTATGTTCTCTGTAAATGAGAGAGAGAGAGAGAGAGAAATAAAGTTCACGGCCTATTTGTTCAGATACCATGCTGCAAAGCTGTTAAAGTTTAATTGCACCAAATGCTACTCTATGCAAAACCTGCTTAGAATATATCACATCCTGGTTGAATAAGGCAAGAGACAAGGTGGGGCAGTTACTCAGCTGTATGTGTTAATCCTTATATAGAGTTGGGCAGACAGTTTTGACATTGATTCTGACTAAGTCAGGGGAGGACAACTATGGCCTCTTTATGACCCGTGGACTTCAACTCCCAGAATTCCTGAGCCAACATGGCCGACAAAGCCTACATTCAATAAATTTGTAGCGAGCTTCATTTTATTAGGAAGTGAACCCAGAGGACTGCAAACCTGCTTGCAAGTTTCCAACAGGGAATTGCTGTTGCTTTGAGGTCATCAACCAGTCAAGTCACAAGATGGAAAATTCCATCAGGCTTCCAGAGTTTAACCAATCCCACACGAGCTATTCAGAAGGGTGTTATTCACTTTATTCTATGCTTCTATATGTGAGTGTGAATCAGCTTCGCAAGCCAACCGGAGTGTTTTGAAGATATTGCGCAACTTATTTGAGTAATTAACATCAGTGGAGTCAACACATCATTTCCACCTTAAGGAAACCTAAGGCGGAATATCAACCCATCATTCAGCACGGTTCCTGAGGACCTGCTGTTCAGATCTAAGACAAATTAGAGATGAGTATCTATTTGTGATTGATACCAGCTGTAAGTACTGCAGCTGGCTAGTACACAAAGCATGAGTCAGCAATAAGTATTCGCATCTGTTGCACCTGCAACCTCCAAAGATATAATTAAAGAAATGGCCCAAATCACAAGAGATTCTTAAATTTTACATACTTGCATAGTTTTGTATTATATCGGATTCCAGGCTCCATTATGGTCATAAGTCAAGGATTACCTGTACCCTATGGTATATATTTCCTTATAGAAGTTTGGAGAAGATATACAGCAGGGAACTCTCACCTGGCATCTTATCCTTATTTGAGTATAGCATAGAGCAGTGGTGGCGAACCTATGGCACGGGTGCCAGAGGCGGCACTCAGAGCCCTCTCTGTGGGCACGCGCACTGTCACCTGAGCCCTGTCTCCCCCCCGTAGCCCCCTCCTCACCAGCAGCCCCGCCAGAGGAGAGTCGCCCCCGGGCGCAGCCCATGTGGAGCAGCGCAGCCAAGGACATGGTAGCTGGGCAGGAAGGACAAGACTCCGCCCTCACGCCCTGTCGCGCGGAGATAATGCTGCGGGATGCAGGCAGAGGGCGTGGCCACAATGGCGCTGCAGAGCTGCCTGGACGATCTGTTGCAGCGGGCCGTGGAGGCGGTGGGTGGCCCTGTGGGCAGGCAGGGCAGGGGCAGAGCAGGGGGCAGAGCGGTGGCGGGCAGGGGACGGGGTGGTTTTTGGGCACTCACTCTCTAAAAGGTTCGCCATCACTGGCATAGAGGGGAAAAAAATTCTTCCCATTTCAAGCCCTTTTTGTTGTGCCACTTGATTTGTGGGGAGAGGAACAGGCTTGTGCTAAACTGCAAAAGAGGCCCAAGTTGCATATAGTCAGCTCCGATATAATGGATGTCATTAAGATTAATGCACAATGTAGACCAGGGGTAGTCAACCTTGGCTCTTTTATGACTCGTGGACTTCAATTCCCAGAATTCTAGCTGGCTTAGGAATTCTGGGAGTTGAAGTCCACGAGTCATAAAAGAGCCAAGGTTGACTACCCTTGATGTAGACTAATGAAAAGCTGCTCCTTTTGAAGAATTCAAGCTACTGATGGCGTTACCTAGTTGGGGTGATGAAACATCTGCAAGAAAACAAGCAAGCTCAGAGAGCACCAAGGACTCCTCAAGCTAGATTTTTGAACTTAGAAACAGTTTGCAAGGAATTTCCTAGCATCACCAAATTTTAGGATAAGGAAATGGCCGTGTTGTGGGGGAAAGGGTAATTACCATATTGTCACCCGTATTACTTTTTAGTAATTTTGTGTGTTTCTGTAAGAAAGACATGACAGATGGGAGGTGCATGAATTCCACCCAAAGCAGACCAAACAGGCAGAAGAATTTGCTCTGGAAGGTTTCAGTTTTTGAAGCATATGGAATGAAGATTTCTGAGAAGACACAACAAAAATTGTTTCTCAAAACACGAAGCGATTCTCATAAGGGGGAGATGGTTTTGGTATGAACTGGATTGTTGTGATTCCGTGCCAGCCTGTGTTCCCAACAGCTGAGTCTGAGGAATCTGAGGAGGAGGTGGAGGAGGCTGTTGAGGGGCCATCAGGGTCAGAGGGAGGCTCTGATGAATTACAAGACTCACGGCTTGATGAAGAGCCTGGCCCCTCCAGTCGTGTTTCTGATGAAGCTCAGCTGTGTGAGGAGCAGGAGTCAGNGTCTTGTTTGCAACGTGTTCCTGTGGACTATTGCCTTCCTTTGAACTTGAGGTTTGCTGTTTGTGTTTTGGACTTATTGACAGGATTGTCACCCAAATAAAAGGGATTTTGTTTTGTTTTAAAGTTTCCAGCCTATTGTATCAGCAGGGGTTTGGTCCTTGTGCCTCTAACAAGGACGGCAATAGGCTGGGATAGAACATGGATGAAAGGAAAGTACTAAAATGGAATAATACCAAGCCTGCATTAAAATTAGAAAAATAGATAGAAATTTTGTAGTACTTTGGAGACATCACACAAAATGAGAAGATGTATCCTGTCTCAAGTCTTCAGAAACTTAAACCTAGCCTGGTGAGGTAGGCTTTACATTGGAAAAATGTGATACAAATTATAAAGCTGCATTTATATTGAGCTGTCCAGAGTAGTTCAATAAATAAGCATGTAGCATTAGAAGCATTTAAAGATGTATAATTATTGCCCGACTTATGATCCTCCATGTGAGAGTGTTTTAAAAAACCAACTTGTCTTACCTGCTGGTTTTTGAAATAATCATTCCTAACACTAGTAGAACAGCAAAAATATTCTATGAACATAACAGACATCAAAAAGCAACTGCATGAAGTGTGTGTAGGATCTTCCCATAATATAGGTACCTAGTCCTTGACTTACAAGAGTTAGTTTAGTGATTGTTCAAAGTTCAATGGCACTGAAAAAGTGCACATTTATAACCACGGTCACATAATCAAAATTTAGACACTTGGCATCTGACTCATATTTATGACGGTTTCAGTGTCCGGGGATCATGTGATCACCTTTTGAGACCTTCTGATAAACAAAGTCAATGGGGAAGCCGGATTCACTTAACAACTGTGTTAATAACTTAACAACTGTGGCAAGAAAGGCTGTAAAATGGGGCAAAATTCACTTAACAGCTGTCTCACTTAGCAACATACATTTTGGACTCAATTGTGGTCATAAGTCAAGGACTACCTGTATCGCATGGGACAATCATAGCACAATTTCCATGTTGTTGTTAGTTGCGAAGTCTTGTCCGACCCATCGCGACCCCATGGACAATGTTCCTCCAGGCCTTCCTGTCCTCTACCATCTTCTGGAGTCCATTTAAGCTCACACCTACTGCTTCAGTGACTCCATCCAGCCACCTCATTCTCTGTCGTCCCCTTCTTCTATTGCCCTCTATCTTTCCCAGCATTAGGCTCTTCTCCAGTGAGTCCTTCCTTCTCATTAGGTGGCCAAAGTATTTGAGTTTCAACTTCAGGATCTGGCCTTCTAAAGAGCAGTCAGGGTTCATCTCCTCTAGGACTGACCGGTTTGATCGCCTTGCAGTCCAGGGGACTCGCAGGAGTCTTCTCCAGCACTATAGTTCAAAGGCCTCAATTCTTTGGTGCTCAGCCTTTCTTATGGTCCAACTTTCACAGCCATACATTGCAACTGGGAAAACCATGGCCTTGACTATACGCACTTTTGTTGGCAGGGTGATGACTCTGCTTTTTAGTATGCTGTCTAGATTTGCCATAGCTTTCCTCCCCAGGAGCAAGCGTCTTTTAATTTCTTGGCTGCAGTCCCCATCTGCGGTGATCTTGGAGCCCAGGAAGATAAAATCTGTCACTACCTCCATTTCTTCCCCACCTATTTGCCAGGAATTGAGATCGCCCTCAACTATGCAATTTTACATAGCTGACTTTGGTCGAATGTGAAAGCTAAGTGGGGCCACCTCTGCTTATTACGTAGATGGGGGAACCTCATAATCATGGCTGCATGTTAAGACTGGGAAGTTAAAAAAAAGAAAACAGCCATTTGTGCATTTTGCCAAGAAAACTGCATGAACGTGTGCCTGTACAACGCTAGGGACTCCAGCTCAGCTTGACAGCAACTTTAATATGGAAGTGAGGTGGAAGGAGAATCAACCAGGAGAATGCATTGACTCTGCATCCCAGTTTGGATCAGGAAAAAATATTTTCTTGATCAGGACGAGAAGTGCAGCCTGCTTGTCATCTTCCCAGCCCTTAAGATAGTTTCCTCCTTGAGGGGCACAAGGGGGAAATACTTCTTTGCAAAGACACGCAGCTGCTTCTGAGCTGTCCAAGAAAAAGATCAAAGAGACCATCTGCAGCTGGTTTCATCTCCAATGCCAAACACTTGATGTCTGTAGTGCGCATAGCAGCCCTGACAGAAATAGCCCTCGACCAAGTGACATGGAGAAAAAGAGAGATGCAATCCAGACACAACAACGCTTTTGTCATCTTTTCTCGAGAGCCAGGGATAGGTTGTTGCCTGACTGGAAAACTCAAGGTGTAAGCAAAAAAAAAAGGGGGGGGAGATGAAGTTACCACGTCATGATAGTCTGGCTCATTTTTGGAGATGCTCAAAGTAGCTATGTCAAGAAATACAGCCTGAGATGGGAAAAAATGCAACTTCCGATTTTGAGTTTTGCCGATTAGATAGGTTTGTTTTTTTATAGACGTGGCTAGTATGTATTGTCATATACAAGTAAAAGGTTGAGGTTTATGTTACTACCTTATTCTACTGCACTAAAGGAGTTGGCAGTCAATGCTTTTTCTTTTTAATAATAATAATAATAATAATAATAATAATAATAATAATAATAATAATAATAATAATAATAATAATAATAATAATAATAATAATAATAATAATAATAATAATAATAATAATAATAATAATAATAAAGTTGGAAGGGACCTTGGAGGTCATCGAGTCCAACCCCCTGCTCAGGCAGGAAACCCTATACCATTTCGGACAAATGGCGGTCCAGTCTCTTCTTAAAAACTTCCAGTATTGGAGCATTCACAGCTTCTGGAGGCAGGTTGTTCCACTGGTTAATTGTTCTAACTGTCAGGAAGTTTCTCCTTAGTTCTAGGTTGCTTCTTTCCTTGATTAGTTTCCATCCGTTGCTTCTTGTCCTGCCCTCAGGCGCTTTGGAGAATAGCTTGACTCCCTCTTCTTTGTGGCAGTCTCTGAGATATTGGAACACTGCTATCATGTCCCCCCTCGTCCTTCTCTTCATTAAACTAAAGACATACCGAATTCCAGCAACCGTTCCTTATTTGCTTTATCCTCCAGTCCCCTAATTGTCTTTGTTGCTCTTCTCTGCACTCTTTCTAGAGTCTCAACATCTTTTTTTTTCTTTTGCACCTTACCCTACATGTTTATGGAGATTCTCAGTCATCCGGGTCATGGTTGCCCCAAAGGTGCATTTTCAAAAGGCAACTGGATTTTCTTTGTCTTTCCTTGAAGACATTTCCCTTCTCATCCAAGAAGCTTCTTTAGTTCTGACAGAACGTCTGACAGTTCTGAAGAAGCTTCTTGGGTGAGAAGTGAAACATCTTCAAGGAAAAACAAAGTCCAGTTGGCCTTTTGAAAAAGCACCTTTGGGACACCTTACCCTTCACTTTTCTCTCTTCCCCCCTTTTCCTTCCCTGTTTCCCCCCTTGTTTTCATTTTTCTTTGTACTTCTGCATTTTATATTTTGATAAACTGATAAAATACATTATGGAAATTTAAAAAAGAAAAAGAAAAGAAAAGACAGCCTAAAAGTGGAGCTGGCTAGATCTGCTCTCTAATCGTTCTCCATAACCTACATGTCTCATGGCTCCTTGCCATGCCTTCCACTTCTGACACAGCAGGGTGAGCGGATTTAATTTGCAAATGGAGAAGACTTACATCTGGGTAGTAATCGAGAGTGGGCACCAAGTGCTGGATGAGAGCTTCCAAAGATCCTGAGAGCAAATTGTTGTCATGGTAATACAGCCCTTCACAGCTGTCCTCTTTGGACTGGAACAGGTATCGGCTGTAGCCGCTGCTGTCAAACATCGCTGCAAAGGGAGGCGTCTGGGGCATACTTTCCTGAAAAAAAACAGCCACAAGAAAACATTAGTGTCAGTCGGATGGCTTAAGGTCAGTGGCGGGATTCAGCCGGTTCACACCACTTCGGCAGAACCGGTGGCTAATTTTTTGTTTTGCCCAGGCCCAGAATGGACTTCCGGAAGCGGCATCCACACAGAGAACCGGTTGTTCACATATTTGAATCCCACCACTGCTTAAGGTTGTTGCCATCTTTTAGGCCAGCAACCTATGGGTCGTGACCCCATTTGGGGTCGATCGACCATTTCACGGGGGTCGGCAAGCAAGGCTGTCCGCCATTTTTTTCCCCTTTTCTGGCGGGTGCCTTACCTCCCTTGAGCTGGGCCAGCTGGTGGTCGGCCTGCTCCGTCTCTGCCACTTGCCAGCTACGCCTCGGCCGGCGCAGGGGGCGGAACCACGCATGTGTGGTGCTCCCGGGCAGGGAAAGTCCTCGACTTACGACCGGTTGGGTAGTCCTCGACTTACGACCGGTTTAGTGCTCGACTTACGACCAGTTTAGTCCTCGACTTACAACTGGTTGGGGGTCGCGGCATTAAAAAGGTTGAGAACCACTGTTTTAGGCCTTCTTCCCCTTTAACTGCTGAAGGTCATGAGTAGTCCCAAACTAATAAGGTCAAAGAACTATACAGGGTGGTCCTCAACTTACAATCATTAGCCACTTTAAGATGGGTGGACTTCAACTCCCAGAATTCCCCAGCTTACCACGTTCTAAAGCAGGGGTGTCAAACTGCCGGCCCGTGGGCCGGACGCGTCATCTGGAAGCCGCGCCCACCCCATTGCCAGCAATGGCAAAACCGTCCCGATACGTTGTGTGGCGTCACGTGACGTCGCGAGTTTGACATGTCTGCTCTAGAGAGAAGTTGTGCAAAACGGTATTTACATAGTGTCATCTTGCAGCTATCCCATTGCGAGAACGTGTCCCGATGCCAATGTTTGAAAAATCAAGTTTTTCTAGAACAGGGGTCTTCAAACTCGGCCCTTTTACGACTCATGGACTTCAACTCCCAGAATTCCTCAGGCAGTGTGCCTGGCTGAGGAATTCTGGGAGTTGAAGTCCATGAGTCATAAAAGGGCCGAGTTTGAAGACCCCTGTTCTAGAAGTACCAGCTCATGTATCTAAAGCTACAAGCTTCGCTTAGCAAAGGGAATATTCGGAAGATGTGCAATATTAACAAGGAACTCAGCTGTGCTAATCCTTTGTTGTAAGCAGTAAATAAAATATGAGGGTTTGGCACATTTTTGTTCAAGGGCAGCATAATAGAGCTCTTGTACTGCATTAGCATCTTAGAACAAACAAATATTCTCTTTCCATAAATTTTTGAAATTTCCTCCCATCTCTCACCAAAATAAAACTGATATTTATTGTTCCTAACAAAATACTGCAGTTCAAAGCAACCAATGACATGGCCTGGATAGAACTTGGTTAATAAATGTAGACTCTCTCAAGTCAAAGTCAACTCCTAGGGCAGGGGTCTCAAACTTGCAATGTCACGTGACGTGTCATGACTTTTTTGCCATTGCTGGCAATGGGGTGGGAGCGGTTTTGCTATGATGCATCTGGCCCACAAGCTGGCAGTTTGACACCCCTGTGGTCATGACTACTGTACAGAGTGCTTTTGCAACCATACAGGTGGTCACATTGGAATTGGAATTTTGATGTTAAGTCACTACAGTCGTAGGTTAAGGCCTAACGTGACCAGACCAGCACCGTCAGATGCTGAAGACAGGACCACATGTGAAGTTTATTGCTCAGCCTATGCACAGGAATTTACTCAACTAAGGATTAGCACTATTTCGGTACTAGATTAGAGTCAATGGAATTCAAGAGGGGTTGGATTTAGTCCATTTGTGGCTATGTAGAGATTCCAAGCTGAGTCCTCTTTTGACTCCGCCCCCATCTCTGCCACTCTTTCTCCTACAGGCACATACAACTGGCAAAATCAGGGGCACAAATCATTTTAGAGGAAAAGAGGGCATGATAGCAACCGGTCAAATAAAGTCTAAAATTCATTGCCATTCCCAAAAGTTCTGCCTTTCCAATTCCCTTTACGACACTCCTTCTACACCTGGGCTGCATCGTTGTCCATCTGAGTATTTTTCCCTAGACTGGTTGCAAGTCCTATTTAATCCAGACTTCCCCAATCTGGTACCCCCCCCCCAGGTGTGTTAAATTTCAACTCCCATTTCCCTTGCTAGCCTACCACCAATCACTGATTTTCTCTCCAAATCTACATGCAAGCTTGCACACTCTCAAAGACTGTGCCAAACTCATGACCTTCCACTCATCTTACATGGCCCTGTCACAAACCCTGCAGCAGAAAGAATGAGTCAGCAATCCACGAGGTTCTTTTTAAAAACATTTTACTTGCAGGTTCCTCACTCGCCTTAAGGCTAATTGGTTAAAATGCCATATATACAGTGGTGGGATTCAGCGGATTCGCACCACTTCGGCAGAACCGGTAGCTAATTTTTTGTGGCCCAGGCCCAGAATGGACTTCCGAAAGCGGCATCCACACAGAGAACCGGTTGTTCACCTATCTGAATCCCACCATTGCATATATAGGCATTTAATCGAAGCTCAAACCATTGGAAATACACACCAGTTGCCAAGTAGCTGAATTTTGATCACTCTGCTGATGCTGCAATGGTCGTAAGTATGAGGACTGGTTACAAATCCCATTTTTTCAGGGTTTTTGTAATTCGAACAGTGGCTAAACCAGGGGTAGGCAACCTTGGTTCTTTTATGATTCGTGGACTTCAACTCCCAGAATTCCTGAGCCAGCATGGCTCAGCTTGGAAACTTTCCCTTTCCCCTCAGCATGGCTGGCTCAGGAATTCTGGGAGTTGAAGTCCACGAGTCATAAACCAATGGGTATAAGTCGAGGACTACCTGTCCCGGACCCTTTCCAAGCTTTTTCAGCTGTACGCACCTGGGTTGTAACTAACCCCTTTCTAAGCACGTTCAGGGATCCACATGTACCCCCTATTCCCTAGCATAGCTGCGGCTCCCCAATTAAGCAGAGACAATCTCCAAATGGCAAGCCTCATTTGTGCAGGCCAGCTTCTGGGAACACAGCCTTGGCACACTGCACACCCCTGCGCCCATAAAGAGATTGAATGCCACCCCCAGCCATTATGCCATCCTTTTTCTTTTGGTAACCAGCCGGCGAGGTGAAAGGAGAAGGAAAGCTTCTCCGAGCATAAATGAAACCAAGAAAAGGCAGGCCGGGGGGAAAACACCTGATTTTGAAAAGCCAGAGCTAATGGGGCAGCCTACAGAGAAATCTACTTTTTTTTTTTTGGCCTCCATCTGTCCACTCTGTGCCGTACAAAGCATTTGCAGTAGGAGTAGAGAAGCTATTAAGTTATTAGCCAAATTCCTAGGGACATTCTAACCTCCCCCCCTCCAAAAAAAGGGAAAACACATCCGTGCACAAAGAATTCAAAAAGAATTCAAAAAGGCTGGCTTGCTTCTGGCAGCAGGTCACAACAATGAAAGCTTTCAAAAGCCACCCCCCACCCCCCAAGTAAAGGATTCAGCCAGTAAACAATAAGAAAAAGCAAAACTTGCTGCTTAGGGAATAGTGGGCACAAGCTGAGAGGAGCCTTCCCACCCTGTGGGGACCCCCTCCTTTCTGCTAATCCCTCTTTTCAAAATGCCAAAGGAGATTTGCATCAAAATACGGGAGGGCAGCCGGCAAAAAAGATCTTGAAAAGTCACGTTCATCCCTGGGAGCAGCTGTTCAACTGGGGATTGGATTCTTCCCAGCACAAATAGGTCAGGAGGGGCCCCTGAAGGAAAGGCTTCCACGTGCCGGAACAGAAGAAGGAGAGGGGGGGGGGGCTAATGCAGCAAAACTAGGAGCCTTAAGAAAGAAGCTGGAAAGAGCCAGGCTGAGAACGCTTTGGAAGGAAAAGATGCTTAAAGAAAAGTAAAAAAAAGAGAGGGAGAGAGAAAGGAGGAGAAAGAGATAATGTAGACCAGACATGTCAAACACAAGGCCCGGGGGCCGGATGCGGCCCGCGAAGTGGTTTCATGTGGCCCGTGAAGCCATCCTGGAAACAGTGAGGGAACGGCCCCCGCTGCCTTGGCCCTGGCCCAGGCCGGCCGGGAGCCAATGTACAATTTTGTGGTGGCCATCTATGCTGAAACGCATTCAGTCTTAGCTCCACAAGGCTGTCTGGAAACAGCAAGGAACCAGCCCCTGCTGTGTCGGCCCCGCCCCCTGGGTGCATGCTGGGGAGGTGTCACCCTTTGTGAGGAATGAAGAAATGGACCATGCCTTGGCACTTGCCCCGGTCCCACCCCCTTCTGCCAGAGACCCTCAGATCTGTCCCACTCCTGCCCAGGCCCCCACAGGCACCCTTGACGGGAACGATGTAGAGCTGGCCATGCCCACCCAGGACGCACCCACTCTGGCCACACCCACCCGACCCCCCAAGGGCAACCGCAATGCTGATGTGGCCCTCAATGAAATTGAGTTTGACACCCCTGATGTAGACATTAATAGAGAATATATTTGCAGCTCAGGGTTGAAATGAGGGGTCCTTGGTGATCTCTGAACTTGGTTGTTTGCCTGCAGACATTTCATTACCCAACCAGGTAACATCATCAGCGCAACGGAGTGTGGGTTTTGCTCCCTGTGTATAAACAGTAGCTTGCCTTGTCTGTGTTGGTGGAAGTGTGGTTTTCTCTTTGATTAGGGTATTTATTTATTTTTTTGCTTGATCGTTTGTCTGGTATTAATCCCTGCTTATCTGAGTGTAGGCTGCTGGAGAGGATATGTTCTGGTCTTTTGGTTTCCTTCTTGGCTTTTTTTATTGCCTCTGATGATGTTACCTAGTTGTGTAATGAAACGTTTGCAAGAAAACAACCAAGCTTAGAGAGCACCAAGCATCCCACAATTTAGAAATTTATCACTTCGTAGACATGGAGTCTCTTTTCATGAAAGATTTTGCCCATGCTTTCTCACTATAAATCT